TGTGTGTGTGTGTCACACCCCTCCCGGGAGGCTGGGAGGAGGCTGCACACTCTGATTTGGGGGAGAAAGTGCAGAAGCGCCACCTACAGGCAGCACTGGGGAGACACAACACAGGGTCTTGTGGCACCTTAGAGACTAACCAATTTATTTGAGCATGAGCTTTCGTGAGCTACAGCTCACTTCATCGGATGCATACCGTGGAAACTGCAGCAGACTTTATATATACACAGAGAATATGAAACAATACCTCCTCCCACCCCACTCTCCTGCTGAACTATTACCAGCAGGAGAGTGAGTTTGTGTGTGTGTGTTTTGGGGGGGGGGGGGGGAACCTGGATTTGTGCTGGAAATGGCCCACCTTGATTTTCATACACATTGTAAGGAGAGTGATCACTTTAGATAAGCTATTACCAGCAGGACAGTGGGGTGGGAGGAGATATTGTTTCATATTCTCTGTGTATATATAAAGTCTGCTGCAGTTTCCACGGTATGCATCTGATGAAGTGAGCTGTAGCTCACGAAAGCTCATGCTCAAATAAATTGGTTAGTCTCTAAGGTGCCACAAGTACTCCTTTTCTTTTTGCGAATACAGACTAACACGGCTGTTACTCTGAAACACGGGGTCTGTCCCTCCCAGCCTGGCAGGCACCCCAGCCAGTGAGCTCTGCCCACCCCCTGCCTCGCCTCCCTGCCGGCAGCCCCCCAAGGCGGAGGGCTTTAGAGCTGGTAGAATGGGTGACAGTGCTCAGGAGTCTGCCCCGTCTCTAGCCCTTCCGGCTGCCCCCTCAAAGGCTCTGTCTGTGCCGGGGAAGGAGGGCCGTGCGGGTAACACACAGGCCCAAGCGCGGAGATGACTGGGTTCTACTCTCAGCTCTGCCATGGACTTCCTGTGTGACACTAGCCCCGCTCTGTGCCTCAGTTTGCCCACCTGTGAAATGGGAGCAATGATAAGGTGACACCATGAATGGTGCTTTGAGATCCACGGCTGGACGGCACCAGGGCAGGAAGAGCGTAGGCCAGTGTCCCCCTGGACGGAGGAGCTGAGATGGGGGCCTGGACCCAGGGCCCTTCACCCGCTTGTGCGACCTGATGCCGCCCATCTGCTGTGTTCCGGGGTGGGTTCCAGATTCCTCCTCACTGAGCTGTAGCTGAGACGTGTCAAACTTGGCGTGCTGGGAGGTGCCCGCCACGCCCGCCAGCCCGCAGGAACCAGTAGGGATGGGTCAGACCCTTCCTTTGGGGGGTGGGTTTTAGCCATTCCCTGGGAATTGATCAGGTTGTGTTTAAAAATGCAAAAACCAGAAAAAATCATTAAACAAATAAAATGAAGGGCAGTGGGCAGGGATGCCTGGTACTCAGCGGGGCAAGGATGCCCGGTATTCAGGGGGCCGGTGGGCAGGGGTGCTCGGTACGCAGGGGGCCAAGGGACAGGGATGCCCGGTACTCAGGGGGGCTGGTACTCAGAGGGGGCAGGACATGGGGGTGGGGGTGCCTGGTACTCATGGATGTCAAGGCACCCAGTACTCACAGGGGTACTCGGGGCAGAGGTGGGGGGTGCCTGGTGCTCGGAGGGGGATACACATCATGGAACAGCAGAGGAAGCCTCGGCGAACTGAGGCGGGTTCAGCCTTGTGCGCCCTGTGGGCCGGTGACTGCTGGGTGGTCGATCTCGGCTCCTGCCCGTCTCGCTCCCGCACTGCCCAGAGGAAGCAGGCAGGGCGGCAATGAAGGGCCGGGGTCAGAAGGCCGCGCCTCACAAGTGCTGCCGGGTCCCTGCCCTTCAGCATGGCCCCCCAACTTCCTCTGCGAAACCTGCCTGGGGCCCACCGGGCCAAGCTTGGGGTGGACAGCAAGAAACCCCAACGCTGGCATGTTTAACCCCAGGAGCCCGGAGGGGAAAATCCTGCAAACCTCAGCATGTGCAGAGCTGGCAGATGCTAGTCCAGCTTCCCCTCCCCCCGCTCCCGTTCTGCCCATGCCCAGCCTTCAGCCCTGACCTCCGAATCCCCGTCCTGTTCCAATCTGGTCCCTTTCCCACATCTCAGCTAGTGCCCCTCAACCCGACCCGCAGCCCCTGCTAGCCAAGCCCTGGGCTTCCCCCGCTCCCCACTCTGCCAGTGCCCCTCAACCCCGACCCGCAGCCCCGTCCTCCACTCCCTTCTCTGCCAAAACTCTGCCAATGTCCCTCTGTCCAAAACCTGCAGCATCCCCCTGCTTTTCCATCCTGGGCTCCCCCTTCTCTACCAACTGCTCAACCCTGACCTCAGGCATGGAGGAGTTTGTGTAAGAAGCTGCCAACACAAATGGGGGCATGAGGGTAGGGACACTGGGGGCACAGAGGGGTGGGGCAGGGGCGAGGCAGAGTGAGACGAAGGCAGTTGGGAGGGGCAGCGTTTTGAGGTTGTTGAATGTGCGGTGACATTCACAAAGGGCCAGAGGGGCAGGCGGCGGCGGGGGGAACCTGATCGAATCAGTGGGCCAAGAGGACACACTTGTTGCAGTTTGGGCCGTGACTGGGTGGTTTCCCTTTACAGAAATGGCCGCTCCCCAGGCCATAATGCAGTTTGTCTTGTGCACGGGTGTGAGACCCCCGCGGTGCAGCCTGGACCGGGCCAAGGGGCTTGGCCGTAACACAGCTCTCCCTGGTGCGGCAGGGCTCGAACACCTGAGGACTCAGCACCACCAGACTGGGGGTGTAGGCGGGCCCCCTCCCGCGAGCCAAGCCCAGCGTGTGGCTCAGGCCGGCGACACCCAGCGAGCGGCTTCCCCTGGCTGCGGCCGTTCGCCCCCCTGTTGTTCGGCACCCGGGGGGGCAGGGCCGCCCAGAGGCAGACGTTTGTGGCATGACTCTCTGGGGCCCCCCCAGACCCCGGGCACTCGGACTAGCTGGCGGGGCCAGGGCCGCGGAGACCCTGGCCTTGTATCTGGCCCAGGGCGGGGTGATCCTGGGGGGCCGCTGCTCCGGTGGGGGGCCCTTGGCTGGGCGCGCCTCGGGGCAGGTCCCTGCAGCCCACGTGGAAGCGAAGCCGCAGCTGGGCAGTGGGCGGAGCCCGGGGCTCGAACCGCGGGAAAGGAGGCTGGCGGGGACGGGGGAGAAAGGGGGATGACGTGGCGCTGACTGGCGCCTCGCACGGGTGACGTCAGCCGCTCACTCCCCTCCCCCGCCCGGAAGGGGCGGTCCCAGGGGCGGGGCTGGGTTTTTGACAGCCCTGCCCGCAACAAAGATGGCAGCGAAGCCAGCCCCGCCCGGGCTGCCAGTCACGTGCTGGCAAGGTCCAAACTCCTGGGACAGGGCCCAGGCGCCCGAGACCGGCCCAGGCAAGAGCCGCGCGAGGAAGGAGAGAGACAGAAGCGCCCGGTGGCCCGGGCCCAGGGGCCAGCCAGGAGTCCCGCCGGCCTGGCACAGCCCGAGCCGGTTGCAGTGCCCCTGGGCCAGGCCCGCCCCCGCCCGCCTCTCCCCACGGGACCCCAAGGCGCCCGGCCGAGGAGCTCGGTCCAGTTAGCCCCATTTTACAGAGAAGGAAACCGAGGCCCAGGGGTGCGGGCGTATCTTGCCCAGGGACACCCGGCAGGCCCGTGGCAGCGGCAGGAATAGATCCAGGTCCCCGTGCTCTGCCCCCCCGGCACCCCACTGCCGCCTGCCAGGCCCGCCCCGGGTGCGCGGGGAACCCCTCGCCCTGCAGCCGGCCCCTCTCCCGGGGTCAGCATCCCAGCTCCCCCACTGCGGCCCAGTCCCCGCCCGGCCTGGGACCGGCCCCAGGGGCTGCGCCCAGCCGGGCCCCGATCCTGGGGCACGGCCCCTGCCCCCTGCCCCCGCGGGCTCCGACCCAGGGAGGCGGCAGGGCGCGCGGGGGGGAACTACACTTCCCATGAGGCCCCGCGGAAGCCGCCTCCCAGCAGGCCCCGCGACCCGGCGCCGGCCCCCCCCTCCCCGGGCGAGGCGGCGGCGCGCGGCCTGCCGGGAGCTGTAGTCCCGCGCGCGGCGCCCCGTCCGTCACGTGGCCTCGAGCGAGCGAGCCGCCGGCACTGGCCGCGCTGGGAGCCGCGCTCCGAGATGGCGGCGCTGTGGGGCGCCGGGCGAGCCGCCGGGGCCAGGGCACCGCGCCGGGGCCGGGGGGGCGGCAGCGGCCCGCCGCCGGCCCCGCCCCCCGCCAGCCCCCCGCAGGTAGGAGCGGGCTGGGGGGCGGCGGGGCCGGGCCGGGCCGCCCGGTGACACGTGGAGGCTGCGGGGGGGGGCCGGAGCCGGGCGGGCCCCCCCCCCCGGCGCGGAGCTCGCTCCTGCCCGAGCCCCGCGCGTGTCCGCGGCCCCCCACGCGCGCGGCGAGCTCGGGGCCAGGCTCGGCCCGGGCCGGCGGGGGCAGCGCACGTGGGCCCCGCCCGGCGGGCTCCGGCGCCTGCACGTGGGTGGGAGCCCGGCGCGGCCGCTGCCGCCGGCCCGGGACAGAGCCGGGGCCTGCTGGGGGCTGTAACCCCCCCCGGTCAGGGTCCCCGCTCGGGGTCAGCGGGGGGGGCTGCGATCTCCCCCCCCCCGGTCAGGGTCCCCGCTCGGGGTCAGCGGGGGGGGGGCTGCGATCTCCCCCCCCGGTCAGAGTGCCCTCTTGGGGTCAGCGGTGGGGGCTAAGATCTCTCTCCCGCCCCCCCCGGTCAGGGTGCCGTCTCGGGGTCAGCGGGGGGGCTGCGATCTCCCCCCCCCCGGTCAGGGTCCCCGCTCGGGGTCAGCGGGGGGGGGCTGCGATCTCCCCCCCCCGGTCAGGGTGCCGTCTCGGGGTCAGCGGGGGGGGGCTGCTATCTCCCCCCCGGTCAGGGTGCCGTCTCGGGGTCAGCGGGGGGGCTGCATTCCCTCCCTCCCACCCCCCCCGGCCACGCTGGGGCTGCGGAGCACTGCGGGCTGGGAGAGGCTGCCAACTCCTCGTTCTCTGTAGCGCAGCCTGGGGACTCCGGAGTGACCCTCCTGCGGGGGCTGGGCCTTGGGTGCTGCGGGGCGCCGGGGACCTGCCGCTGGAACCCGGGGGGGGTGAAAGCGGCGCCCCCCATCATATCCGGGGGGCTGAAGGCACCTGGCACCAAGCCCTGCACCGTCAGTGCAGAGCAGTGGCCGGCCTAGAAACAGGGCGGGGGTTCAGAGAAGGTGGCTGGCGAGCTGGCCAGGGTGGGGCTGCTCGTCGCAGACCACGGCAGAGCTGGTTTCTTGGGGAGCTTCTAGTGAGCAGGGCTTGAGATGCACATCGGGGTTTAGCGTCCGTCACAGCAGCGTGCCCGGCTGTCATCCTCCAACACTCCCCGCCCTGGGTGTCCCACCCCTGGCTGTGCTGGCTGGCCAGGGCTGGGGGCTGTTTGCTCTTGCATTCAAAAGGCATCCAATGAAGTGAGCTGTAGCTCACGAAAGCTCATGCTCAAATAAATTGGTTAGTCTCTATGGTGCCACAAGTCCTCCTTTTCTTTTTGCGAATACAGACTAACACGGCTGTTACTCTGAAACCATTCAAAAGGCAGTGGGCGTGTGACTTTCTTCAGGGACAGTGCTGATGCACAGCTGCCTACCACCTGTATCCTGCCTGAAATAATCCATGGAGTGGTTTCGCTTCTTAATTTTGTCAAGCTCCTCTGAGAAGCAAACCATTGACATGACTGGTTTTGCTTCTGGCCCGGCTTCTCCTCAGAGCATGGTTTGCTTCTCTAGGGCGGAAAACAGATCCGCAGTGCTTTGCGGGGTGTGTGTGTGTGGAGGAGACTTGTGTATCTTATCGCCATGGGGCGGGGGGTGCCAGGTGACACCGGGTCAAGCTGGAGAAGGAGTCACAAATTAATCTTTGTGACCAGCGCATGCCTAATTCTGGGTTGGAGCATTTGGGTAGAAAAGCCCAGTATAGACAGCCAGCCTGTGTCCTTGTGTAATTCCTGTAGACCTGTGCCGTTGTTCCTCATATTACCTGGGGGCAGGCCGTGGCTGATTAGGAAATGGGACACTTAAGCCTTGCCTGGATTAGGGAAATTTCCCCTGAGTGCTGTGTCCCCTCTGTCATCCCCGTCCCCCCCCGCTTGGACTTCTGGAGTGTGCAGCGGGGCCGAGAGAAATAAGAGTTTTGGAAGTTGGGAACTGGTGAGGGCCCTTTAACTTGGACTTGCCCCCTTGAGCTGTGTGTTCAGGGCTTAGATACCCCAGCAATAGGTCTGTTAAAGATACCTTGACTATGCTGGACAACATGGAATGCAGTGTGGTCTAGTGGATGGAGCACTGGGCCGGGTTTCAAGAGTCCTCATTTCAGTTTCTTGCTCTGCCCCCAACGTGCTGGGTGAGCTTTGGGCAAGTCACACCCTAGTCCCCTGCCTCAGTTTCCCCATCTTTACAATAGAGGTGATGATACTGGCTTCCTGTGTAAAGTGCTTTGAGCTGTATGGATGAGAAGTGCTAGACACAGAGAACAGATTCTGGTTTTCTAGCTTCTCTTGAGATTTATGGGAGCTGTAGAGGACATGATTTCATTTTTGCTTTTGCGTAGCAGGCACTTGCAGGGTGCTCTCTGGGATGATGGACAGGGGCTGGCCCTGCTTTAATAGAGGACCTGATGTTCTGAAATGGCTTTGTCCTGAATCAGAGCTCTGTAAGCTTGGAAGCTCGTCTCTCTCGCCAGCAGAAGTTGGGCCGAGGAAAGAGATTCCCTCACCCACCTTGTTGCGCTTGTCCTGGGAAAGGCATTTACTTTGTTCATGTTTTACAAAGCACATGTGTTCCCACGTCTGCTTGGAAGTCAGTTCACTTCACAGTTGCCCTGGAAGGATGCACTGTATCCTGAACGGGTTCTTTGCCTCTTCCCGCCGTCCGGTTTAACTGCCTCCCCGAGATGCCTTGGCTGACTGGTAGGCAGCAGCTCTTGCCTTTTGGAAGCGTGGCTGCAGCTTGAGCTGTGTGGGAGTGTAGCTGACTAAACAGGGGGCTGTCCTGGAGGCTTTTGGTGATAGAGGCAAAATCAAATGTAAGAACCCTCCCAAGTATTTGCTGCGTGATGTCACATCCTTGTATTCAGATCCTTTCTGCCAACACAACGCACAGTGATTTTAGGTTCTTGGATATGCCAAGATTGGGGCTGTCACGCAAGTTGTGTTGAAAACTTGTTCCCTGGCTGCTTTTGTTCCCTGTTCTGCCCATTGCCTACCCGCTAAGACCTGGCCCCGGGGACTGCCCTGCTCTAGAGCCCTAGAATGGGACAGGTTCTCCAGTCCAGCCGCCAGGGCCCGGTCTGGCCTGCACTGGTGGTGATGCCAGAGTGACTCTGGAAACCTTGGGGCCCCTTTGAGAGATGTTTGTCCGCTGGGAACCTTCCATTTAAGGGCGGCCAGCTTTGCCCAGGTAAGGCTGGGCTGGCAGCTCACCGGGAGATCGGACTCTGTGCCTAGCAGGCTTGAAGTGAAGCAGGTGGATGCCATCTTGCACTTAAATACAGAGGTGGGACCTGCATCCCAGCATGCCATGCACCTGTGGGGCCAGGTGGCCTCTGCACAGCTCCATAGAGGCTCCTTTGGGTTTCAGTGGGAGACTTGATTCTCTACTTCTGCTGGTCTGCAACCTGACGCTGAGAGCCCTTGCTAGCGGCAGTGAGGGCTGAGGTTCCTCCTCTTGCTCACCCACTGAGGGGCCACTGGCAAATGCCCCTTCCTGCTTCCAGTGCCCCCAGCTTGCATTTCTAATGAGGGCTGGTGTCCTGGGCCCAGAGAGCTCTGGGAAAGTGTCTTTGAATGGTCCTCTCCAGAGCCTGGGAGCCCAGCTGTAGCCACGTCAAACCCTCGAGCTGCAATGTTTCCGTCTGCTTTGGTGCCCCAGTCCGAGGAGGGAGAGAAGTTGTAGACGAGGCAACAAAAGCCAGTCAGGTGCTGGGGTTGGAGGAGGGAAAAAGTCAAGGCAGGAAAGGAAGTTAGTAAAAGGAGAGCTGTAACTCCACGAAAAACACTCAGGGTGTGAACTGACCCCGTCTGTGAACAGGAGGAGGTGGGAAGAACTGAAAAGGCACCACATTTAAAATGGCTCCAAGGGGATCTTTTGGGGTACATGGTCTCATTAGCCAATGACTCCCCCAACCTGTAGAACTCATCGCTGCAGGATATTGAGGCAAGCAAGTCAGTAAGTTCTCTGAAGACAGCTCGTCGTTTTTCCCCAACAGCAGCTGCCAGGACACTACCTGTACGAGCAAAGTCTGGGGGCAACCTCTGCACGAGGGCGAATCTCCCCTCCGAGCCATAGCACCGCACAGTGAGGTGATGCGGGAGAATTGACCCCTTCCTTTGAACCATCCAGCATTGGCCATGCACATCCAGGGCAATGGACTAGATGGACCACTGATATATTCCCATGTGGCTGTCGACTGCTCAGTCCTGCAGGAGGCGCTCTCCCCTCCCACGGGAGTTTGATTTTGCTATCCCTCGTTGGACTCCTGAAAGCATCTTTTTAATTGTGACGCATTTGTAACCGTGCAGTGGCCTGGATGCTGCAATAGTGAAGCATCAGGGTGGGGTTCCTTGCGAACTGGACTGCAAAGGCCGACGCTGTATGAGCTGCTGACTGGTCTGACTGCAGCGATTCCGATTCTTGCAAACTCCTGTTCGACCGCGTGGCTCCTCCCTGGGGTGAGCTGCGCCTGCTTGTTCCAGCTGACTCCAAGCTCTGCAGTAAGGGCTGGGTTCCTGGGCGTCGTCCCAGCTCCTTTGATCATCCCTGGGATCTCCAGACTGATTCACCAGAGACCGTTCTGAAATGACAGGTTTCAGAGTAGCAGCCGTGTTAGTCTGTGTTCGCAAAAAGAACAGGAGTACCTGGGCTCTGGAGGGGAATGCCGTGCTTGGGGTTAAGCTGGGTTTTACACGTTACTTTCCCACTGCGTACTGGAGTAATACAAGATAATAAACCATGGCAGCATAATTCATACCGAACACTCGTCTTCTGCGTGAGACAGGAGAGTGATCTCATTCCTGTACAGGACATGGATCTGCAGCTTGTGTCAAGCAATCCACCAAACACAAGCTACAGATCACAGCTCTGTCTTTAGTTCACTTTCTAGGGGCCTTTGCTTCAAGAATATTGATGCTTTGGCATTAGAGAAATGACCAGTCCCCACAGCAGCAGCTGCTCGGGGAACTTGCATTGGGCAGCAAAGAAGTTTTTCATGCTGTCCTGGCGTAGGAGCTGATCATGTGACACAGATTCCAACCCCTTCCCCTGGTATTTGACTGCAGAACTGAAACTGTCCATTTAAAAGCCCGAGCCTGGGTTTCTAAGTTCAGCTCCTAAGTAAGAGGTGGAGGTGAGCTGCTGCTGTTCCCAGGGACTCAAGCCGGAGTCGGGGCTGGTTGGGACCTCTGTAAATGAGGTCACCTTTATGTAGTAGCAGAACTTCAGGGGCCCAGGTGGAAAGTTAAATCCCTAGCTGTTCCGGTGGCCAAGAAAACCTGCTGAACGTGCCCCCCAGGGGATGCTGCCTTCTTGAGTCTAAGCAGCCCTGAGAGGCGAGAATTGCCCCGTTCATCTCAGGGGGGCATGCCTGTTGAGACTGGAGGTCCAGGACTCTGGAGAGCTATGCAGATGACTCAAGCAGGTAACCAGGTTATAGCAGACCCAGCGTAAAGGCTCTGCAGCCCGTCATCCTGGGCCTTACCAATGGGATCGACCTAGGTACATCGCTCAGGGCTTTGAATAATTGCACGCCCTGTGCGCCATAGGTAGGTGGATCTAACCCTGTGTAGACGCGGCTGGCTAGAGGTGGGTTAAGTACATGGATGGAGAAACCTCTTGTGTCGTCTGTGGCACAGCCAGAGCGCTGGAGCTGTGCCGTGGGGGGTTTAGTGTACACATACCCTTCCTTGTGAGAGGAGGAGGCTGCAGGAGGGACTTTACCCCCCCTCGCCCCCTCAGGCAGCTGGTGCCTGGGGGCATCTCTGCCCCAAGCCACGTCTCTCATGGGCACGGTGGCTTGTACAAAACACCACCACACTAAACCAAGTACATAAAACCCATGGTGTTTGTGAGACTTAACTCAAGGTGCTGAGTGGTATATGCACTGGGGAGGGGGGTTAGGTCTCATGGGACTTCTGACCCCCATGCACAAGGATTTGGGCTCTGGCCAGGAGACTGGAGTCCACCCCAGCATGTGGTGGTTCCTCTGCAATTTCATTGCTAGTTGCCAGGGAGGCTTACACTCCAACATCCCTGTGGCCTTGTTGTGCTGAGTCTCCTGGTGAACTAGTCCTCTAAGCTGTAATTCCTCACTGCGCACTCACGAGCCCTGTTGACTCTGAAACCTAATGTCAACACCAACTCAATGCTATTTCACTGCTCATCATTTGATGATGATTTAACTGGGAATTGGTCCTGCTTTGAGCAGGGGGTTGGACTAGATGACCTTCTGGGGTCCCTTCCAACCCTTATATTCTATGATTCTATGATTCTATGATTTAATGGAGCAGCAGTGGGCTGAAATGCTTCTCCTTGGTTGCTGGATGCAGGGGCTTCAGGTTGCCAATTCTCAACTGTATCATGAGCTTCACAATCATTGGTGGTGCTCTTAAAGCCCCAGCTCCTGGAGCCCCGTGATTGAGACAGTCTATTTCCGCTTTCATTTTAAAAATTAAGTTTCTGGCCTGCGTGGTTGTGGAGAGAAGCCTGAGAACGTGACACCCCCCTGCCCAAGGGCTAGAATGCTAAGTGGCAAATATAGCCCCGAAGCTGGCTGGCTTTTATTCTGTGTTAGCGCAGCACTCCAGTCGTAGAGCAGGGCCCCATTGTGTAGAACAGAACGGGGGCGTGTTTTGTGGCCTGTAGCCTGGTGAGCACTGGCTTCTCCCCTCTAACCTGTCTCCTTGCCCCTCTCTAGTGCTTCTCTCTGGAGGAAGATGAGCTGAGCCTGCACTTGGTTCCCGCCTGCAGCGATGCTATCCTGGAGGCCGAAGGGATCCTGGGAACGATGCAGAGCTACCTCGATTCCTCCGTGATCTCTATCATCGAGGACTTCAGCACCCTGACCGAGGTAACGGGCTGCCTGCAGAGAGGCAGGGGACATAGTCGGGCCCTGGGCTTCCGCATTCACCCATCTCGCCTTCGGGACCTGCCGCAGCCCTGGATCCAAAGCTGCCTGGGGCATCTCCAGTCCCACGACCTTGGTGGGGTGGGGGGTGAGACGGGATACGGCAGGTCTGGGAATCTCCGTCCCTCGCCTGCTTTGGCCCCTCTGTTTGCTGCTTTCCCTGCCGGACGCTGCATCGTTTGGCTGGGCGTGAGGTGAGCAGTGCTGGGAAGAGTGGCCAGGAGTCAGTCCCTGGTCCAGCTCTCTCCTGTCATTCCTCTTCCCCTCCTTTTCTTTTGTCTGACAAGGATTCTTTGTCAAGGGCCTCTGCCGGCCCACCCGCCAGCTAGCCTGCTCCTAATGTGTCTAGCTCAGCCTCACGGCAGTGTTAATTCAGGGGGGCAGGGTCCCTGGCACCTCCCCTCCTCTGGGTTCTGAGCTCTTGGGCCGGGACTGAGCCAAGCACGTGCCGGTTGACGGGAGCCTTCCAGTCCTGGGGGCACCTCCCCAGCAGGGCCCTGCTCGAGGGACATTTGGGGCAGAGGCAGAGCTAGTTACCACTGGCCCCTCAGTGGGCACCTGCATTTCTGAGCCTCCGTGTTGCTGACAAGAGACAGGCGTGAAGAGAGGGGAAGACGTCTAGTGGCTAGGGCCTGTCATGAGAGTGGCAGGGCGGGGTCGGTATCTGGCGGTGCCCCTGATGCAAGGGCCTCTCTCACCAGAGCAAGGCCTGCCTGGATGCACCGAACGAGCTGTCGCTGCTGACGGCCATCACCGAGATCCTGGACAGCACGGACGACGAGACCCTGTCTCCGTTTGACACCACCCTGGACTCGGAATTGCTGGCACAGCCCCGGGACCGGGAGAGTTCTTCGGTATGAGGTGCTCTCTGCCTGCCTTCCCCGCCCTTCCCAGGAGGTGCCTAGACCAGCCACTTCCGCTTCACTTAGTCCCTGGCCCGGGCAGCAGCCAAACCGTGCACAGCACACGCGTAGACGTGCTAACTCGCCCACCTCTGGGCTGCTCATCTCCCCCCACCGGCTCCTTCCCTTGGGGCTCTGGGAAAGGAGGCTCCAGATCCCAGTCCCATTTCAATGGGAGCCCCCCCATCCCCGAGCCATGCCGTGTCATCGGTGAGATCACTGCAGGGCACCCCCTGGCAGTCACCAGCTGAGCTGCTTCTGAAATGAGCTGTAGGAACTGCCCTGTGGGAAATCAGGAGGAGCGGGATTGGGGGGTGGCACACACCTTATTTGCTGTTGGCTACAGACCAGCAGAAATGCCCCGCGAAGCGGCCTGCATATCCCGCCGTGGTATGTAGGCGGCTCGGGCTGCTCATGCTTTGGCGAGCCAGGCACTAGAGCTGGGTGTGATTCCACTCCTGGAACCCAGCGCTGGGATCAAACGGCGGCTGGGGCGTACCCTGGGGGGCCTCGTGTAGCCAGTTGCCATGCTGGGCATGTGGTGAGGGGGGAGAGTCTGGTGCGGGGAGGCTGCTGGCCATGCGGCTTCACCCTGCGCCCCGGCTGGGCTTGGACTGGCAGGTCTGTGTTTTCCACCTTCTCATTCCACTTCTTACCCATCAGTTTCAGAAGTTTCTCAGCTTGTCCCGGGCCTCCCCTGAGCGCAGTGTTCCTGCCCTAGATGATCCGTGGGGCCTCAGCGGCCCAGCTGCCATCGGCAAGGTGAGAGGGCAGCTCCTTGGTGTGTGCAGAGGGTCAGGGAGAGCCTGGGTCCAGGGCAACCAGGGGTGCTTAGGAAAGACATCAGCCGGATTGGCTGTCCTGCTCGTACCCATGGATGGTGGGGCTGTGGGTGACCTTTGGGTTGCCTGGTCTCCGGTTGTGTAGGGTGACTCCTGGTAGCCCTTGCCCGCTCTCCAATATCTCCATGGTTTCTGGGCCGCTGCTGAGCTCTGCTTGCTCACGGCTCGGGAGAGGCAGCATCAGGGAGCTACCGTGGCTTTGGAGCTACCGTGCAGTGCCAGGACTCGCATCTTCATGCTCGCTGCTCTCTTAAAGGGCCGCCAGCCTTTGCCCCTCCTGCTCGCCTGGAGCTGGGAGCAGCCCTGAGCCGGGCTGGTGGGAGCCTAGCCAGGCAGTTAACAAGCACCTCTGCGGGACGGCTCACGGTCCTGGCCAGCTGTAACCCCAGCCATGCTGGCGCTGCTCTTGGGCTGCAATGTGAATGTAAAGCCTTGCTTTAGGCTGTAGCTCCTCGAGCCCTTGTCCCCTGCAGCGTTGGGAATGCTCTCCGGCAGGGGGGCAAACTCCTGGGCAGTGAGGATTCGCCGTAACACGGGAGCTTGTCAAGGTGCAGACCGGGCAGGAGCGGTGTGGGGCTGTTGCAAATCAGTGAAAACTGCCCCCGGTGGGGCTCAAACTGTGCAATTGTGGGCTGGTCCCTGCCAGTCCACGCACCTCATGAGGAGAGGGCATTGCCCTGGCTGCTAGCCGGAGTGGCTGAGCCCACTGGCAGTCGCCACCTAGGTTACGTGAGCTGCACTGCTCTGCCTCGGGACTGCCCCGCTTCTGGGGAGCAGCGCCGTCACCTGTCTCTTCCCCCTTTCCCTGCCAGGTGGGGACGGGCCCTGGGGATCTGCCCTGGAACGGCCTCGAAGAGCCGGCAGCACCCAAGCAGGGCAGCAGCAGAGCGGCCCGGGCGGAGCGGAAGCTGCCCAGGCCCCAGCCCCTCCCGCAGCGCAGCGACGGGGAGGAGGAGGAGGAGGCTGCTAGCCCTGGGCAGCACGGCAGCGTGGTGGCAGCTGTGGGGCTGCGGGAGAGCCCCCTGGGTTTGTGCGCCGAGGCTGGGGGTGAGGAGGCGGTGTGGCCGGAAGACAGTGACGCTCCCTGCATCATCAGCACGGGGGCCGGGTCCCTCAGCGAGCTGGTGAAGTCCATGCACCCGTACTGCCTGCCCACGCTCACCGTGTGCCTGGACCCTGCCAGCGAGCCGGTGGCGAAGGACTTCTTAACCGGCCCGCTCCTGCTGGAGATCGTGCCAGGCGAAGGCGAGAGCCTGGAGATCCCCGTGGTCCTGCAGCAGCTGGGCCCAGAAGCGCAGCTCCCAGCTGAAGGGCAGGGAGCCTGCGGTTGCCCAGCTGGCAAGGGGGATGGTGCCCTAGAGCTGTCACCTATGGATGGTGTGTTGCCAGTGGGAACGCCTGCCCAGGGGTGTGAGACTGGGGGCCATGGCAGGGCCCCCCAAGCGGAGCCTCCCAGCCTGACCCAGGCGAGAGAGTCCCCCCGGGGGGTTGACCCTGAAGCAAAGGATGAGGAGAGGCAAAGAGACCAATATCTGGAGAGCAGCTCCCGGAGCAGTACGGAGGCGCCAGCGGGCGGGAAGCGCCAGGGCACCGAGAAGGGCCGAGGGCGTGAGAGGGCCAGGAAAAGCCGGAAAAAGAAAAGGGAGGAATCGCAGAAGGGCCAGGCCAAGCCTGATGGGGACTGCATGGTCCGCAGGCTCCTTTCCACATCCTTGGTGCAGCCGCCAGCCACCCAGCGCTCCCCAAGCTGGGCAGCCCGGCCCTCCATGCAGGTGTCCACCTTCCTGGAAAGGCAGCTGGAGCAGGCCAAGAAGGAAGGGCAGATGGAGCTGCGATCGGCCCGAGGGAGACCGCGGGCAGCGGCAGCAGGGGGCACCCTGCAGAGGAAGGGTCACCCTGAGGTGCAGAAGGAGCTGGAGGCTGAGAAGCCCAACACGCAGCCAGCTGTGCAGAGTGCTGAGACCCCCGGGCCCTCGGAGCAGGCCGTGCCCAGCCCCGGGGAGCAGCCGGCTGCCGTGGGACGCGGCCCAGCGGAGCAGGGAGAGGTAGCTCCTGGGTGCGGTGAGGGGAACCAGCCTGCCCCCACCAAGGGGAGCATTGGCCCAGAGACCACCCCCCCACACGGTGACCTCAGTGCTGAGGGGGAGGCTCCCCGGAGCCCGCAGGAAGTGGAGCGGGCTGGGGCCGAGGCTGCCGGCTGGCCGTCCAAGCCCAAGGCGCTCAGCCTGACCGAGTACCGGCTGCGGATGCTGCACCGCCAGCCCAGCGGGGCCGACGGGAAGGAGGGGGAGAAGCAGGCAGCGAGCAAGTGGCCCAGCGTCCCCGAGCCCCCCACGGAGCTGGCCGAGATCCCGTGCCTAATGGCACCCGTGCGCCCCCTGCCCTCACAGCCTGCCCAGCCCGTGAAGATGCCCAGCTCCCAGAGGGGCCCAGAGAAACCTGCCAGCCCCCCAGCCACCCCTCCTCTGCCCAGAAAGGCACCTGCAGAGCCCCCCCAGACCGTGCCGGCTCCAGTGCCCCCGGGGCTGCAGCTGCCTTTCCTCCCGCCGGCCCTGGGAGCTGCTGCTGCAGCAATCCCCCTGGCCTCCACAGCTCCCTATGCCCTCTACCCACCGGTGCCTTCCTGGCCTTGCTTTGGCCCCCCACCTGCCGGCTACCCCAGCCTGCCTCCACCACCGGCCGCTGGCGGGTCGCCCAACGCCTTTCACCTGGTGCCTGGCCTGCCCCCGCCAGCCCTGGCCTGGCCCCCCCCTGCCCTGCCACCACCTCCCTTCGGTCCAGGTGCGCCATGTGCCCCCATGGGCTGGGCCCTGGGCCTCCAGCCGTCCTACTGGCCCGGGGTCCCCCTGCCACCTGCAGTGCCTCCAATGGTGTACAGCGATCCAGGGGCAAAACCCTTCCCAGCTAGCCCTCTCCCCTTCCCAGCTAGCCCTCTCCCCTTCCCAGCTAGCCCAGCCGCCCCGGCACCAAGCTGCCAAGAGCCCTCAGTTTTCACAGCACAGCCAATGAAGCCAGCGCTAGCCAAGCACGAGGTGCCAGCCCAGCCCCCCCAGCGCGGGGCACAGCCCTCGGCCAGGGCCGCTGGTGGCCGGGCATCTGACCCCAGGAGGCAGAGCCGGCCTGTGGGCGAGTCATCTGCCACCCAGCCTGTAGGGCAGCCCCCTGCCCCCCGGCCTGTGGGTGAGTCACCCACTGCCCAGCCCCCTATTGCCATGGCCCGGACTGTGGGGGAGTCAACTGCTGCTGGGCCTGTGGGGCAGCACCCTGCCCAGCCCTTGAGGGAGCCCCCAGCCCCCCGGCCTGTGGGCGAGTCGCCCACTGCCCAGCCCGTTATTGCCACTGCCCAGCCTGTGGGAGAGTCTGTTTCTGCTGCTGCCCCTCGGCCTGTGGGAGAGTCCCCTGCTGCCCAGCCTATGGGGGAGCCCCCTGCTCACCCCACAAGGGAGACCTCTGCCCCACAGCTTGTGGGAGAGTCACCTGCTGCCCAGCCCATGGGGCAGCCGCCTGTTGCCACTGCCTGGCCCGTGGGGGAGCCTGTTTCTGCTGCTGCCTCCCAGCCTGTGGAGCAGACTACGAGGGAGCCCACTGCCCCCCAGCCTGTGGGGGAGCCTCCTGATACCTGCCCCATGGCAGAGGCTGCAGCTCCAGCAAAGGTCCCACTGGCCAGCCTGCTGGAGGGGGACCGGCCAGACCCCAAGGGAGCTGTCCTGCAGGAGCCCCGGCCACCTGGGCGCACGTCCGTCCGCGGGAAAGCAGGGGCACCGCTGAGAGCGCGAGAGGAGAGCCAGCCCACCAAGCTGGCCCCTGCCCGGCCATGGAGACACCGGCCCCTCGTCAGCCCAGCCCAGCCTGGCGCCAGCAAGGACATTGTGCAGGCCTTCATCAGCGAAATCGGTGAGGGGCCACGCTGGGGGTGTCCGGGGGCAGTGGGCGCCGAGGAGGGGAGGGGCTGATGGGGGGGGCAGTGGGGCGCCGAGGGGGCATGTCGTGAGCCTGGCTCAGGGTGAGTAGCAGCGAAGCTGAACCTGTCTGCATGGCAGAGCCCTTCCCCTGGGGTTGGGGGGCTCAGCCCGCACTGGCCAGTACAGTTCTCTGGGGCTGCACTGAATGGGCATCCGGCCTGCGAGCTCCCTGGTGCCTGGGAGGAGCCTTTTCTCTCTGAGCCCCCTTCTTTCCTGCTTGCAGGAAAGGCTGCCCCGCCTTTGTCTGGACGTGGCAAGGCCCCTGGCTCCCTGAGGGTCTCTTCCCCTCCCGCTGCACTCTGCCCCAGAGCCCCGGCTCGCGAGAGTCCCAGCCGGTCCAGGCACGAGAGTGTTGGTCCGGATCTGGCCCCGTTGCCCCATGGCAGCCGCATGGCCGTCAGGGGTGCCAGTGAGTGTCCCTCGGCGCTGCTCCTGCTGGGGGGGGGGCTCGTCAGCCTGAGCCCCTCTGCCCCAGCTCAGGACCCCAGCCCGGAAGTGACCTGACAAGCCGCGTCTCCTCTCCTGTCGCAGGAATCGAAGCCTCCGACCTGTCCAGCCTGCTGGAGCAGTTTGAGAAGACCGAAGGTGAGCGGCTGGCGTGCCCTTATCGGCCATCCCCTCTCCCATCTGGTGCCCCCAGGCTCTGCGCGACCTAGCCCGACAGGCCTGTTTCAATCCCACATCCAGGGAGGTGTCGGACTGGCTGATGCACCGTCCCAAACTCTGCAAGCGTCAGCTTTCTGGCTTGTAGCAGGGACTGCGGTCCCCAGCCTGGGCGGGGCAGCCCCACAGCGGAGGTTTCCGGCTTAGCTGAGCAATGGGTCCTGGCGTAAATCGGAGCAGCCTGAAGACTGCCAGTGTGTAAATGTTACTGCGGTGAAGGGCAGACCTGGCCCGTTTCCCGACCCCTGCCCCATATGTGAACCGGGCCAGTGGGGGGCCCCAGGTGAGGCCAGGAGGGAGGGGACCCAAGCAGAGGGGTTGGGCTGCGCAGGGAGCCAGCCCTTTGGGGCGAGGAGGAAACAGGCCCCCAAGCCCGGCACCCGGAGTCGCCCAGCGAACGGGCCCTGGAGTGGGGACACCAGGCTCCCCGCCATGGCAGCATCTCCCTCAGCTCTCACTGCACTTGCTCTCGTTTCAGCCACGAAGGAGGCGCTGCAGGTGCGACGCCCTGGAGACAGGCTGGTGCCGGGGAACGCTTGGTGAGTCTGGAGGTGCCCACGGTGCCACCCAGTCCCAGTCTGTGCTGGCGACAGCCCCGGGGCTCCTGGCCCCAGGGAGGGGCGCGGGCAGAGCTCGGGCAGCTGGGGTGGGTCGGTGCTGTGTCTCTGCGGCGGTGAGCTGGACAGCGAGGGCCCCCAGGGCCCAAACGACAAAGGCTGCTTGAGTGCACGCACCCTCTCCTGCCCGGGCCAGAGATGGCAGTACCTGGCAGCATGCTGAGCGCCCAGGCTGTGCCAGCTGGGCCCAGGGCTGCGGTGATGGGCACTTCGGGTGCTGGGAGGCAGCATGCTGGGGCGCTGGGCCAGCGCTCCCTGGTGAGGTGGGGGGTGCGTGACCTGGCCCGGAAGGTCACGGGTCTCGGTCGTTGCCGCTTTTAGCGAGGACCCCTCTCTCCCTGCAGCAGGTCCGAGAGCCACCCGGACAAGAACCCGCTGGACAGCCTGCATGCCCCGGAGCTGGCCAACGTCGCTGGTAAAGCCCTGGGGCTGGAGGGCTCGCGGGGGAAGGGGATCTGGCACCTGCCTGGCAAGCGCTGCCCAGGTTCGGCGCCTCGCTCCAGGGCAGACGGGGAGGCCAGGGGGCATGGCTGGCAGCTGCCATGGGGAATGCTGAGCAAGGGGATGTGGGGAGGGGTGCAAACCTGTCCTGGGGGAGGGGCCCAGGCTACAGAATGCTCCTGCTTGCTATCGGGGCGCATGCCGTGTCCTGGGGCCCCCCCTGAACACCCTCGTTACCTCGCAGGCCTCACCCCGCCAGCGACGCCGCCCCACCAGCTCTGGAAGCCCTTGGCTGCTGTCTCGCTGCTGGGGAAGCCCAGGTCCCCCGGGGCCGCCGCCCAGGAGGGCAGCCAGAGAACTGCCAAGTTCATGGAGGCCAAGCCACTGCCCCAGAGCAAACCTCGGGGGAAGGGCCTGTCCCCCACAACCTGTGGCCCACCCCCCAGCCACGTGGGTTCTGGAGACCATGACTACTGCGTCCGTGGCCCCGGCCAGCCAGAGGAGGGCGCCAGGCTCCCCAGCGTGCCGGCCCCGTCGGAGCTGGGCTCCCGCTGGAATGTGAAGCATCACCAGGATATCACCATCAAGCCGCCCTCCTCCCTCCCCACACGGACGCTGGCCGGGCCCGGGCTCAGCCCCCGGCCTGGTGCCGCCCCTGGCTCCAGCGAGCAGCTGGATCACCGGACTAGTGCCCGAAGCCAGGCTGCCGCTGGCAGGAGCAGCTCCCCCACCTCGGTCCTGCTGTCTCCGGACGCGTCCCCCTGCCGGGACGAGGAGCCGCAGACTCGGGACCCGCAGCCGAAGCAGCTGGCTACCAAAAGGTCCCTGCACTGCTACCGGAGACGTGGGGCCTCGCCGAGCCCCCGGGCCCGCGCCAGCCGCTCTTTCAGCTCCACGTCCAGCGGGGCCAGCGCCTCCTCCTCTTCCTCCTCCTCCTCCCGGTCTCGATCCCGGTCGCTGTCCCCCCCACTGAAGCGGTGGCGAAGGTAAGTGGCAGGTTCCCGGTCCCCTGGCTGTCTGGCACTCTGCTGCGGCTCCGTCGCCAAGCCGCCGTGGCTGGCTCTCCCCACGGAGTCTGGCCATCCGTGCGGCTGGGCACCCCAGGCAGCTGGGAGCGTTTGGGCTGGGCACAGGGAGACACGCCTTGCAGAGTGGGGATCTTTGAGGGATAGGCTGGGGCAGAAGGGCTCCCCTGCAATGGCGTTTGCTGGGCGTGTGGAGGGCACAGTGATGCCCAAGACCCGGCGGACCCGCACTGAGCCCAACAGTCACTGAGCCACCGGTGCAGCTCGCCGTGGGAACAGGGTTACCACCTGGGCTGGTTCCAGGGGCCATCAGCTGCCCATCGCTCGCCTGCGTCGATGGCCCCATACAGTGTCATAACCAAGCGGAGGGGCACTGGGCTGGCCATGGAGAGAGCAGGGCTGTGTCTGCCCGGGCAGAGCTAGGAGCTCATACAGCAGGGCTGCCCCTGCGCCAGAGGCCTTGGCATAGGCGAGACGTCAGCGCTGACCCCAGGGCTCATGGTCCGGGGCTGGCGCCCGGCCTGGCCTGTGTGGGTCGGACCAAGTCGCGCCGCTGGCGGGGCACCTGGCCCGGCTGGCGCTGCCGAGTAGCCAGAGGGGCCTGGAGCTGCATGGGAGGCACCAAAGAGCTCTCCTTCCCCGCGAGCGCACCCAGGGGCCTGGCACTGCCCTCCGGAGCTGGGCATTGCAGCCCCGTGCCGGCCGGAGCAAGTAGCTGGCTCTGACTGGGCAGCAGGTGTGTGGGTGGGGGGCTGCCCGGTCCCTCCAGCCAGGGCACGATCCCCTCCGGTCCCCTGGTGCCAATCACAGTCTGAAATGGCTGTAGCAGCCCTGCCCACAGCTGAGGGCACTCCCCGCCATCCAGTCTGTACCTCTCAATCCCATTGTCCTAATCCTCGGGCGGTCCCCTTCCTGGGCCTTGTGCCCCACCCAGCCCTGCTGGCGCTCTGCCAGGCAGCAGGGAGCTCCAGGGCCCTGTGGGATCAGGGTCCTCGGCCCCACGTCCTGCTGTGCAGCTCGGGGGAGAGCGGCCCTCTCCTCTCCATACAGCCAGGCCGGCTCAGCTCTCCACAGCTGCCAGGCCCGAATGCCTGGTCTTACTTGCAGCCCCTGGCTAGCAGTTGGGCTGATGTGCAGCCCCAAGAGAAGAGAGACTGTCCCCTCTGGGGCAAGAGGCCCTGGATGGTGCTGGGCTCCCCTGCCACCATCAATCGTAGGGAACCCCTCCCCTGCCCCCCGCAAGCCACCTTGAGAGGGTCTGTGCCTCTCCTGCCCCTTGCCCACTGTGCTCAGCTCCCCTCGGCCAGCCCGGATGGGGGCTGGGGGCAGATCAGCCCCTTTGCTCCCCAAGAGGCCGGGCCCAGCCCAGTCCCGCTGCAGGCAGAGGAGTCGCTGAGCATGGACTCAGGCACCGGACTCATGTCTCTGGCTACTCCCCACCTCGCTCCCTAGGCGACCAGCGAGCGGAGCCGTCCCACCTTGCGTCCGCCCTGCTCCCTCCGCCTCCCGGGGAGCCGTGCTCCCGTCGCTGCACTGGCCGGCTAGCCCTGCCCGCAGATCCAGTGCCTGGTGCCGAACGTTGCATGCTCCTGCTCCTGCTCTGTCCTGGCAGCTGAGCCGTTCAGCTGCCCCCGTCGCTGCCTCCCCGTCAGCAACACGTGACAGCCGGCGCAGGCCAGGCCGTGAGCGGCTCGTTAAGTTTCACTCAGTGCCGTACCATATTGAACACTGCTGTTCACCTCGCTGAGCTGTTGGCTCAGGCTCTCTGCAGACTCCGGCAGGTGCTGTCCTGCCTGGGTCACGTTTTGAAGGCTTTCCTCATTTCCATGAGGTTCGGGAGGCCTGCTTGGGCAGGAAGCTGTCCCCTGGAGTGCCCCAGGCCATGCTGAGTGTCCTGTGCGTGTGGGTCAGGAGAGCACCTCGTGGCCTCGATGCTTTGGGGATGGGAGGAAGCCCCAGCTGGGGTGGGCAGTGAGGGGCTTGGGGCCCACTGGAGGCTCACGGGGTGACATGCTTGTTCGGCAGGTATCGCTCGAGACGCTCCCGCAGCTCCCACTCTTCCTCCCGCTCGAGCTGCGGGTCCTGTGGCCGGTCCCGGGGAAGGTCCACGTCCTCGTCCTCGTCCTACTCGTCCAGATCCTCCTCGGCTTCCCGCAGCTACTCCCGCTCCCCATCCCCCCGCAGGAGGAGTAACCGGAGGAGAAGGTAAGGACACATCCGTGGGCCATCGGGACAGGGAAACCCCGCTCCCTAGTCCCCCTCAGCTCAGACCCCTGTGCCGTTTGGGCCCCTACTGCCTACCCTGCACAACCCCCCCCGCTCTGCTGGCCCGCTGCTGCCCCGAGATGCTCCAGATGTCTCCAGTCTGGGAGGGGCCCGTGCCCCGCCCCAGGCCTGGGGAAGCAGCAGCAGCCTCCCTTGGGAGGGGAGCTCCTGTCTTTTGGGGTTGGGGGGAGGGCTGTTCCCTAGGGTGCGTGAGGGCCTGGCCTGGGGCTCTCCACAGCCCATGACCCCCACAGGCTCCGTCGGCCTGGTGTGCACCTGGATGTGCTCACCAGAGCCAGGGGTGGCCGTGGCCTTGCGCTGGGTTGAGGGCACATGCCCGAGACTCTTGGCAAGCCTGTGGCCTCCCCCGGGCACCAGCCACAAAGCCAGGAACAGCTCTGGGGGCCTGTCGGGGCAGTGGCTGGTGTCCTGGCTCTCCCGGCTCCCAACCGCCCTGATTGTGCCCTGCCAGATACGATTACTGTGACCCTCCGGATCACTGCCAGCACCAGAAAGTCCTCCACAAGGAACGTGCAATAGTGAGTGAGGGCGTGCACCAAGCGGGGGTGTGGAGGTCCCTGGGAGCTGTGGGCTGGTGCAACGTGGTGGGGGTGTCTGGTCCCTGGGAGCTGTGGGCTGGGCATGGGGGGTCCTGTCCCTGGGAGCTGTGGGTTGGGCATGTGCAACGTGGTGGGGGTGTCCGGTCCCTGGGAGCTGTGGGCTGGGCGTGTGCAATGTGGTGGGGGGGTCTGGTCCCTGGGAGCTACGGGGTGTGGGGGGGAAGGGCATGTCTGGGGAGCCCAGCTGACCAGGTCTCTGCTCCCTGCAGGGCCGGCTCCTCCCACACCAGGGCCCAGAGCTGAGCCTCCCCAGGCAGAGAAAGGGGACGCCCTGTGTGAGTGTCCGGCCCGTTTCCCTGCTTCCTCAGGGGGCTCTGAGCCCCTCTGGCCTGGGGGCCTTGCCAGGTGAATGGGGCTCACCTGCGCTCCAGACTGGGGGCGCAGTAGGGCCATGCGCTGTGGCCGCGTCTGCCCTGCTCCACCCCCGACTTGCTGAGCTGGGGGCAGGGTCCCCGCCTTAGGGCCCCACTGGGCTCCGAGCGGGGCAGGAAGCAGCCCTGCCCATGCCCGGCTCCTGGCTACCAGCCGGGGTTGTGCGGCGGAGTCGTAACGCCGGGTCTCCAGGGTGAGCTGGGCGGGAGCGCGTGCCGAACTCTGGGGCTGGGAGCACCCGGCTCATGGCTTTGCGCTGTGCTCCCTGCAGGAGGAGAGGAGAGTCGTCTTCATCGGCAAGATCCCCAGCAGGATGACGCGGGCAGAGCTCCGGCACCGCTTCTCTGTGTTCGGGGACATCGAGGAGTGCACCCTCCACTTCCGGGCTGAGGGGTGAGGCTGGGCCCTGCCCTGGGGAGGAGGGGGCCGCTTGGAGTCTGGGGGGGATTGCCGGGGCTCCCTAGGGGATGTCAGGGTAGCTCCTGGCACCCTGTCCTTACCCAGAGCAGGCTGTGCCCCTGCCCAGGGTGGGCATGGCCAGGCCCACGCGTCTCAGCCTTGGGAAGCCTCTGCCAGTCACCAGGTCGCATGGGAGGGGACCCAGCGAGTCACCGGCTCTGCCTCTGCCCCCAGGGACAACTACGGCTTTGTCACCTACCGCTACGCCAAGGAGGCCTTCGCCGCCATCGAGAGTGGCCACAAGCTGCGGCGCCCGGACGAGCAGCCCTTCGACCTGTGCTTCGGGGGGCGCCGCCAGTTCTGTAGGAGGAACTACGCGGACCTGGGTGAGTCAGGGAGCCCAAGACGTAGCCGGGGCCCGGGCCACGCCGGGGGCCCTGCGGCAGGAGTCTGCCGAGCTCCTTCCCTGCTCCTCTGCGCAGTGCGAGGCTGCAGAGCTCCCCTTGCGTCAGCGTCCCGCCCCTGGGCCCCCGGCCTGCCGCCGAGCACAGCCCAGAGCTCTGGGCGTGGGGCGGCACTGCCGTGCGGTGGCTTCACCTCCACGCCTGGCTCCCCTCCGGGAGCGGGGTGACCCCCGTGCGGTGCGTCCCCGCCCCAGTGCCTTGCGCTCACTGCAGCCTTGTGTCCTCCAGACTCCAGCCGGGAAGACTTCGCCCCCGCCCCCATCAAGAGCAAGTTCGACTCCCTCGACTTCGACACCTTATTGAAGCAGGCGCAGCACAACCTGCGGAGGTAGTGCCAGGCCCGTGGCGGCTGCCTCCGGTGCCCGCGGGAGGCGCCAGCTGGCGGCCCGGCCCGGCCTGGCTGCAGCCGAGCCAGGCCGCACCGAGAAATGCAAAGACAAAAGAAGTGTCAAACCAGATTTTTTTAAACAATTTGTTTTTATAACAAGTATTTAAGGAAGATGAATCCCCTCTGTTAACTGAGGGGCTGGAGGCAAATGGCTGCCGCAGCCCAGTCACCCCGGTTAATAAACCCGGGTCCAACCTCGTCCTGGCTTGTCTCCCTTCTTCGGCTGCTTGGGCCTGGCGTCCCCTGGGTGGGCTGGGCCCAGGGGCGCCACCTCTTGCGTGGGTGAGGGCGGCTGGGCTGAGATGGGCCTTGGGAGTGAGTCTCTGGGCAGCAGTGCCCAGCTGGGGTCCAGCATGGCCACCCCCAGCTGAGCCTGCACTGCAGCTGCCTGCGAGTGGTAGGGGAGAGATGGCAGTGCCCGGCCCAGGGACGTCTCGCCCCTCAGCCTCACTGGGGGGTGGAATGCATGTGAGCTGGAGGGTCTCACACAGCTCCGGCCTGGCGCTACCAGCGTGTCTGACCGCCTCTATGGGAGGGTTCAACACAGGGAACTTACCTTCTCTCTGCGCCAGGCCAGGTTGCCGTCGGGGGGTACAGGGACGTGGCATCGTGATCCGCCCCCAGCGTGACCGACCTGCGTCCTGTGGCTGACCCCAAGGGGCCTGCGCCTCTGCAGTCACTGTCCTGGTGTCATCTCGTCCAGTTCTGCTGGGCACTTCCCCAGAGCAAGCGCAGGGACAGGACCCTGTAACCGGCAGGGACATGGGTCTCTGAACCCCAGAGACTGGGGCAGGGAGGGGCCGGGCCTGGAGCAGCAAAATTAACTGGGGCCCACATCCCAAGACGTAAGGGCAGAAAGGACAGTTAATCGTCCCACGTGGCCTGCAGGGCTCAGGCCCGAGAGGTTCCTGAGCTAGGGTCCCTCTAATCCTGCTGCGCCCTGACAGAGCTGGAGCAGGCCCCCGAGAGCTCTGCAGCTGCCACGGAGCTGAGGTCACTGGTTCTGCAGCCAGGCAAGCAAGGCTAGAACCTGGCTCTTGTCTGGCCCTGGCTTTAGCACTCGCGGGTTTGGTGCCTGACAAGCCAGGGCGCAGCCCCTGTGTACCCTGACCCCAGGGTGGTCGTGGGGAGCTGAGGACCAGCAGGGCTGGGATGGTTCCGGGAAGAGGGGCATGGCTGGCCAACTCCTGCCTAGGTCCCATGAGTGGTGCCAGTTACTGCCCTGTGCCCCAGTCAGCACCACGAGTGCGCAGCTGGGCAGAGTGGATTGGGAGGGCCAAGGCAGGGCCGCCTGCACAGAGGCTCCGAGGTGGGGCGGGAGGAGGCCGACCTGTGGGGTGGAGCTGAAGGAGCCGAGGTCAGGGGTGTGGCTGAGCGTTTTTGCCTCCAGGAAGGGGTGGGGTTTCTGCGACATCTGGGAGGTGGAGATGGGCCTGGTGGGCCCCTGCCCCTCCCTCTGGGCCTGGAGGCTGGGGTGGGAGGCTGGTGCTGGAGTTGGTGCACTCTGTCCAGCCCGGTGATTGCACACAGCATGGGGCTGTCCCTGCTGCGTGGCTGGGCTCTGCATAACGCGGGTGCCCTAGGCATGCCGGGCAGGGGCATGCACTCTGCTCCCTTGGTTGGGGAGCTGCCCGCCTGCCCGGGGTGGCTGTGGGCTAATACCAGCAATTCCCCAGTGGCCCGAGGGCAGAGCAAAGAGCCATGGTGGCCAGGAACTCCCAGCTGCCCTTTCGCCTGCTGCTGCTGCAGGGGCTCCTTGGGCTGTCGTTCCGATGTGCGCCACAGGGTGGCACTGCATGCCCCTAGCGCTCCAGCCGAGTCCCCACTGCCCAGCGTGGCCAGGGGCCAGCGCCGTGGCCCAGCCCGGGGCTCAAAGCCCAGGCTGCACCGGAGGTCGTTTTTGTGGGGAGGAGCTGGTCATGGCTGCCAGGGCTCAGCCTTGTCCAGTGAGGGCAGGGGCAGGAGCGCTGTGGTGGGAGCCCTTGTCGCTGAATTGCCCGCCCAGCTGCCCCGTTCCCGGGGAGCAGGATTTGTGTCTGTCACGGGCCAGCATGGCAGCGGGCAGGGCTTGGGCTCAGGGCTGTTTACAGATGGGACTTGGTTGGAGGGAGAGCTCCCCCTTCCCCCGGTGTGGGCTGCAGGGTCCTGCTGTGTAATGCAAAATCAGAAGGAGGGGCTGGCCCTGCATTCCTCCTCCCTTCTGTGGGCCACTGCTTCCAGCAGGAGTTCCCTAGCCCCCGTCCACACGAAGGGGGGCGGGGGAATGGTATTGGACCTGGGGCTCTAAAGCAGCCTGGGTTCCAGGGCAGACCAGCTGCCTAGAGAAGCACTGTGCCCTCCTGGCCTGGGGGATGCTGGCAGCTCCCCCTGCACGCACTGCCCTGCAGTCACTCACACGGGCACCCGAAAGCAGCCCTGCCCGAGGTGCTCTGTGGCATGGATGGCAAAGGGCACAAGGGGGAGGCAGGGATAAAGAATGTAACTTGCCGCCTCACTCCCTTTGCTGCTCTGGTGTCTCTCTCTCCAGTCTGACCGCGCGGCAGGGCAGGGGCTCTCTCACCTGGGTCCTGCTGCCATGCAGACGGTGAGCAGCAAGGGCCAGCAGGGCTCTCCAGCCCCCATGCAAATGTGCTGGCTGGTGCTTGACAGTGCACTCAGCAGAGGAAGGGTTAATAATGGTGGCGATAGCCCTGCAGCCCCCTGCCCCTCCCTGCCCGAGACATGGTTATGCCTCTGCTCCTCATTCAGGCTGTAGAACTGAAGGCTCAGCATGCGGGGGGGCCACTGGCCGTGTCCCAGTGCTTTGCAAGCAGGAGAGCTTGAAACTGCTTAAAAAGCAAGGGAAGGGAAGGGAGCTTCAGGACATCAGCTGAGAAACCGGACTGGAGATGACTGAGTGCCCTGAGCAGCTCTGGGAACGTGCCGTCCCGGCGAGGGGGGGCAGGCCGGCTGGGCCCTGAGTCACTTTGCGGGATGGGATGCTCTGGTGCCGGGGGTGGGCGCACGGGAGGGCAGCCGCACTATGGGTGGTGGTGACGGGTTGGGTCTCTGCCCATGTGACCTGGGGCCTCAGCATCCTGCAGGCTGGACCCGGGGTGCAGGGACTTTCCACCTGCACCAGGTGTGGCTTTTGCCGCCATCTCTACTGCCCTGGGCCAAACTCCCAGCCAATCGGCGAGTGGGAATGGCTCAGTGCAGCTGATGGATGGAGGGCTGGGCTGGGCTGGGCCGGGCCACCAGCACCCCCGGGAGGTTAGGGGTAGGTCAGATGTGATCCCCGGGCTGCCCCCTTGGAGCCGGCCTGGTCCCTATGGCCACACCCCAGGCAGGCTTGCTTTCTGAGCTGTTTCCCAGCATGTTTGCTTGGGGCCTTCATATCTGGCAGCCACACAGCTGCCCCCTTCACAAGGCCACTGGCCCTTGGCTGCTCCTGCTGTTGCCTTCTCCTGGCTGGCGAAAGCTCTCAGCTCCTGCTTTGCTTCCCTGGCTTGTTCCCAAGGAACCCGTGCAGCTCGCAGACCTGGCGTCAATCCCCTGCCCCACTGCCACAGAGTCGGTGCTATGGCCCCAGCTTTGGAGCAGTCTGGAGCAATCTGTTCAGGGTGTCAGTCCGCCTCAGGTCTTGCTCTTCTTCCCGAGTGAGCCCTGTGGCCTCTTGGACTGGACCTCTGGGGCTCCAGCCCTCCAGTGTCACCCTGCGCTCTGCCCAGTGAGGCCAGCCGAGACAGACCCCGGTTAGAAATGGGTGCACTCTCTGGGGATCAGTGCCCCTCTGCCTGTGTTCACAGCGACTCCCCAGCGCTGTCGGACAGTCGGGTTTATCTGGTGACTGGCCACGGCCTAGGCCAGCCGTCGGGTCGCCCAGAGAATGGAAGGTTACAGCATGGCCCATTCTGGGGGTCCCGGCCAGGCTGTAGGGAGCCTACGTGTTCGGGCTCTGACTGACCTTGGTCAGTGAGCAGGTGAGAGCCCCAACTGGGATTCCCCCACCTCACATCTCCCCACCCTCTCTTCTCAGCTGGGGAGTCTATGATCTGTGTCCCTGCAGAGAGGGAGGAAATCCATCTTCTGCTGGGGTGTTGGTTGCTATTATCAATGGCCTGGTGATTGGGTTTTCCATTGTCCTCTCTGATAATGGGGCCGGCCTGGGCTGCTCCTTTTTAAGCGACCCATTCAGGCTCAGACAGCTAGGTGTCATTCATAGCCAGGTCTGCCCTAAGAGCAAACAGTCCTTTCCCCACATTGGGTTGCCATATGAAATATAGGGGAAACTGAGGCATGCATAGGATTCCTAAAACTATTTCAGAAAATTCCCACTTGGTCACACCTGGCTCATCTGAGTCTGTGTTAGCATGGTGTGTCTTTCTCGTGCCTCTTACCTCCAAGAAGTGCGCAATCTGTGCAGCCAGCTCTGGGGTGGAACAAGCAGCTCTTAAACAATCCCCAGCAGTGCGATACACCAGTCTAGGCCAGGGAGTGAAAGATCCCCCACAGTGCAGAGGGGAGGACTGAAAGTTAACACTGCCCTATGGGAGCAATAATGACCACAAGGTGTCAGGCCCTCAGTTTTATGCTTTAACCCGAGTCCAGCACCTCCTGCACGTCCTGGCCCTAGCACTGCACTAGGCCACTGGCTTGGGCCTGAGGCAGGGGCACCTGCCAGGACAAACAGGAGCAGCTAACAGGAGTTTTGCGAGGGAGTTCTCTGGGTGACTAGGTGACCTTGGGGTGAGTTTGTTGTGTGTAGCATGTGTGTTTGTGGTGGGCTTGCTGCTTGACTGATGTATATAGTGTGCTCTGTCTGTTTGGGGGCCAGTGTACTGAGTCTAGCAGCCTGTTAGGCAAGACTGAGACCTTCTTAACGAGGCTTTGAGCCTTAACGCCTTTAGCACCCATCAACCCTTAATCAGGGGCGGGGCTTCTCAGGGAGACCAGGGCTTTAAAAAGCCCATCCCTAAGTGACCAGAGGAGCTAGCGAACAGGGGACCTTTGCAAGGGAGTTTAGAGGAGTGGGGGGCTAGATACACTTAACATTCTTTAAACTTAAGGCAATAAACACCCCCTGATAAAAACAAAACATCAACAAAGGAACAAGCTGCAGGCAATGCAGCATGTCCGATTACCTGCCCTATGGGCAGGTGGTGTATGTGTGCATTCAGTGCAAGGAGCTCCTGGAGACCAGAGTGGCTGAACAGGAGGAGCTGAGAGAGACAGAGAGGTACATAGATGAGACTTTCTGGGACACAGTAGAACGGTCCCACCCCTGGTCTGACAGCCTCTGTACTTACTGTTGGGGAGGATGAAAGTCTCAGGGAAAGAGAACATCCAACTGGAGCAGAGGGTAGTGAAGACATACCCTTAGAAACTAACAAATGTATTTGGGCATAAGCTTTGGTGGGCTAAAACCCACTTCATCAGATGTATGGAGTGGAAAATACAGTAAGCAAAATATATATTCTAGCACATGGAAAGATGGGTGTTGCCTTACTAAGTGGGGGGTCAGTGCTAATGAGCCAATTCAATTAAGGTGGAAGTGGCCTATTCTCAACAGTTGACAAGAAGGGGTGAATACCAAGGGAGGGAAAGGTTTCAGAGTAACAGCCGTGCTAGTCCTGTATTCGCAAAAAGAACAGGAGGACTTGTGGCACCTTAGAGACTAACAAATGTATTTGAGCATGAGCTTTCGTGAGCTACAGCTCACTTCATCGGATGCATACTGTGGAAAGTGTAGAAGATCTTTTTATACACACAAAGCATGAAAAAATACCTCCCCCCCCACCCCACTCTCCTGCTGGTAACAGCTTATCTAATGTGTATGATAATCAAGGTGGGCCATTTCCAGCACAAATCCAGGTTTTCTCACACCCCCCACCCCCCACAAACCCATTCTCCTGCTGGTAATAGCTTATCTAAAGTGACCACTCTCCTTACAATGTGTATGATAATCAAGGTGAGCCATTTCCAGCGCAAATCCAGGTTTAACAAGAACGTCTGGGGGGGAGGGGTAGGAAAAAACAAGGGAAAATAGGTTACCTTGCATAATGACTTAGCCACTCCCAGTCTCTATTCAAGCCTAAGTTAATTGTATCCAATTTGCAAATGAATTCCAATTCAACAGTTTCTCGCTGGAGTCTGGATTTGAAGTTTTTTTGTTGTAATATCGCAACTTTCGTGTCTGTAAGCGCGTGACCAGGGAGATTGAAGTGTTCTCCGACTGGTTTATGAATGTTATAATTCTTGACATCTGATTTGTGTCCATTTATTCTTTTACGTAGAGACTGTCCAGTTTGACCAATGTACATGGAAGAGGGGCATTGCTGGCACATGATGGCATATGTCACATTGGTGTATGTGCAGGTGAACGAGCCCCTGATAGTGTGGCTGATGTGATTAGGCGCTATGATGGTGTCCCCTGAATAGATATGTGGGCACAGTTGGCAATGGGCTTTGTTGCAAGGATAGGTTCCTGGGTTAGTGGTTCTGTTGTGTGGTATGTGGTTGCTGGTGAGTATTTGCTTCAGATTCGGGGGCTGTCTGTAAGCGAGGACTGGCCTGTCTCCCAAGATTTGTGAGAGTGTTGGGTCATCCTTCAGGATAGGTTGTAGATCCTTAATAATGCGTTGGAGGGGTTTTAGTTGGGGGCTGAAGGTGACGGCTAGTGGCGTTGTGTTATTTTCTTTGTTAGGCCTGTCCTGTAGTAGGTGACTTCTGGGAACTCTTCTGGCTCTATCAATCTGTTTCTTCACTTCCGCAGGTGGGTATTGTAGTTGTAAGAATGCTTGATAGAGATCTTGTAGGTGTTTGTCTCTGTCTGAGGGGTTGGAGCAAATGCGGTTGTATCGCAGATCATGTGGTGTGGTCAGGGTGAAAGCTGGAGGCATGTAGGTAGGAATAGCGGTCAGTGGGTTTCCGGTATAGGGTGATGTTTATGTGACCATCGTTTATTAGCACTGTAGTATCCAGGAAGTGGATCTCTTGTGTGGACTGGACCAGGCTGAGGTTGATGTGGGATGGAAATTGTTGAAATCATGGTGGAATTCCTCAAGGGCTTCTTTTCCATGGGTCCAGATGATGAAGATGTCATCAATATAGCGCAAGTAGAGTAGGGGTGTTAGGGGACGAGAGCTGAGGAAGCGTTGTTCTAAGTCAGCCATAAAAATGTTGGCATACTGTGGGGCCATGCGGGAACCCATAGCAGTGCCGCTGATCTGAAGGTATACATTGTCTCCAAATGTGGAGTAGTTATGGGTGAGGACAAAGTCACAAAGTTCAGCCACCAGGTTAGCCGTGACATTATCGGGGATAGTGTTCTTGATGGCTTGTAGTCCATCTTTGTGTGGAATGTTGGTGTAGAGGGCTTCTACATCCATAGTGGCCAGGATGGTGTTATCAGGAAGATCACCGATGGATTGTAGTTTCCTCAGGAAGTCAGTGGTGTCTCGAAGGTAGCTGGGAGTGCTGGTAGCGTAGGGCCTGAGGAGGGAGTCTATATAGCCAGACAATCCTGCTCTCAGAGTGACAATGCCTGAGATGATGGGGTGCCCAGGATTTCCAGGTTTATGGATCTTGGGTAGCAGATAGAATATCCCAGGTCGGGGTTCCAGGGGTGTGTCTGTGCGGATTTGATCTTGTGCTTTTTCAGGGAGTTTCTTGAGCAAATGCTGTAGCTTCTTTTGGTAACTCTCAGTGGGATCAGAGGGTAATGGCTTGTAGAAAGTGGTGTTGGAGAGCTGCCAAGCAGTCTCTTGTTCATATTCCGACCTATTCATGATGACAACAGCACCTCCTTTGTCAGCCTTTTTGATTATGAGGTCAGAGTTGTTTCTGAGGCTGTGGATGGCATTGTGTTCTGCACGGCTGAGGTTATGGGGCAAGTGATGCTGCTTTTCCACAATTTCAGCCCGTGCACGTCGGCGGAAGCACTCTATGTAGAAGTCCAGTCTGCTGTTTCGACCTTCAGGAGGAGTCCACCTAGAATCCTTCTTTTTGTTGTGTTGGTAGGGAGGTCTCTGTGGATTAGTATGTTGTTCAGAGGTATATTGGAAATATTCCTTGAGTCGGAGACATTGAAAATAGGATTCTAGGTCACCACAGAACTGTATCATGTTCGTGGGGGTGGAGGGGAGGGAAAATTACTTTTGTAGTGCTAACAAGGCCAATGCAAATAAGGTGGCCCATTACCAACAGTTGACAAGAAAGTACGAGTATCAGCAGAGAGATAATTACTTTTTCTTCGAGCAGGGGGTTGGACTAGATGACCTTCTGGGGTCCCTCCCAACCCTTATATTCTATGATTCTATGATTCTAGTGACCCATCCACTCCCAGTCTTTATTCAGGCCTAATTTGAAGGTGTCCAGTTTGCAAATTTATTCCAGTTCTACAGTTTCATGTTAGAATCTGTTTTTGAAGATTTTTTTTTTGTTGAAGAATGGCCACTTTTAAATCTGTTATTGAGTGTCCAGGGAGATTGAAATGCTTTCCTACTGGTTTTTGAATGTTACAATTCTTGACATCTGATTTGTGTCCATTTATTCTTTTGCGTAGAGACTGTCTGGTTTAGCCAATGTACATGGCAGAAGGGCATTGCTGGCACATGATAGCATATATCACATTGGTAGATGTGCAGGTGAACGAGCCCCTGATGGTGTGGCTGATGTGGTTAGGTCCTATGATGGTGTCCCCTGAATAGATATGCAGACAGAGTAAGCATCAGGGTTTGTTGCAAGGATAGGTTCCCGGGTTAGTGGTTCTGTTGTGTGGTGTGTGGTTGCTGGTGAGTATTTGTTTCAGGTTGGGGGGCTGTCTGTAAGCAAGGACTGGCCTGTCTCCCAAGGTCTGTGAGAATGCGGGATCATCCTTCAGGATAGGTTGTAGATCCTTGATGATGCGTTGGAGAGGTTTTAGTTGGGGGCTGAAGGTGACGGCTAGTGGCGTTCTGTTACTTTCTTTGTTGGGCCTGTCCTGTAATAGGTGACTTCTGGGTAGTCTTCTGGCTCTGTCAGTCTATTTCTTCACGTTAGAGGTGGGTATTGTAGTTGTAAGAACACTTGATAGAGATCCTTGTGACGCAGTAGGAAGTGGGGTGGATTGACCGGTGAATGTCGTCTAATTCTACTGGGCCTGTCGGCATTGGGGATGGGATAGCAGGGGATGAGCCTGTGACCTGAGCCAGGAAGGGGGTGGGACCAGGTGACACCTTGGCCCCGGAAACTGGACAAAGGCTAGAGGAGAGAGTCTTGTGGGGGGTTTTGGTTTCAGTTTTGTGCTGGGTGGTAGAAAGCAGGGAACCCCAAGGCTGGGGTCTAAGCTCCCTGCCCCCGAGAAGGACTTGACTGAGGGGTCCTGGTTGTACCCACAAGCTCTGTTTTAGACTGTGTTCCTATTGTCCAATAAACCTTCTGTTTTACTGACTGGCTGAGAGTAACGGTGAATCCCAGGAAGAGGGGTGCAGGGCCCTGACTCCCCCACACTCCATGACAATCCTGTAGGTGTTTGTCTCTGTCTGAGGGATTGGAGCAAATGCGGTTGTATCTTAGAGCTTGGCTGTAGACAATGGATTGTGCGGTGTGGTCTGGGTGAAAGCTGGAGGCATGTAGGTAGGAATAGTGGTCAGTAGGTTTCCGATATAGGGTGGTGTTTATGTGACCATCACTTATTAGAACTGTAATGTCTAGGAAGTAGATCTCTTGTATGGACTGGTCCAGGCTGAGGTTAGTGGTGGAGTGGAAATTGTTGAAATCCTGGTGGAATTCCTCAAGGTCCTCCTTCCCATGGGTCCAGGTGATGAAGATGTCATCAATGTAGCGCAAGTAGAGGAGGGGCGTCAGGGGACAAGAGCTGAGGAAGCGTTGTTCTAAGTCAGCCATAAAAATGTTGGCATACTGTGGGGCCATGCGGGTAGCCATGAAAATGAAAAAGTCCCATTCAGTTCCATCACATAACGGCAGACAGCTAAAAAGTGTCAATTTTTTAAAGTGCTGATATACAAATGCTAGAAGTCTAAATAATAAGATGAGTGAACTAGAGTGCCTCGTATTGAATGAGGAGATTGATATAATAGGCATCACAGAAACTTGGTGGAATGAGGATACTCAATGGGACACAGTAATACCAAGGTACAAAATATATCGGAAGGACAGAACAGGTCCTGCTGGTGAGGGAGTGGCACTGTATGTGAAAAAGCGTAGAATAAAATGAAGAAAAAATCTTAAATAAACCAAACTGTACCACAGAATCTCTATGGATAGTAATTCCATGCTCGGATAATAAGAATATAGCGGTAGGGATATATTACTGATCACCTGGCCAGGATGGTGATAGTGACTGTGAAATGCTCAGGGAGATTAGAGAGGCCACTAAAATAAAAAGCTCAATAATAATGGGGGATTTCAACTATCCCCATATTGGCTGGGTACATGTCGCCTCAGGACGGGATGCAGAGATGAAGTTTCTTGACACCTTAAATGACTGATTCTTGGAGCAGCTGGTCCTGGAACCCACCAGAGGAGAGACAATTCTTGATTTAGTCCTAAATGGAGCACAGGATCTGGTCCAAGAGGTGAATATAGCTGGACCCCTTGGTAATAGTGACCATAATATAATTAAATGTAACATCCCTGTGGTGGGGAAAACCCCACAGTGACCCAACACGATAGTGTTTAGTTTCAGAAAGGGGAACTACACAAAAATGAGGAAGTTAGTTGAACAGAAATTAAAAGGTACAGCGCCAAAAGTGAAATCCCTGCAAGCTGCATGGAAACTTTTAAAAAGACATCATAACAGAGGCTCAACTTAAATGCACACCCCAAATTAAAACACAGTAAGAGAACCAAAAAAGTGCCACTTGTGGCTGAACAACAAAGTAAAAGAAGCAGTGAGAGGCAAAAAGGCCTCCTTTAAAAGGTGGAAGTTAAATCCTAGTGAGGAAAATAGAAAGGAGCATAAACTCTGGAAAATGAAGTATAAAACTATAATTAGGAAGCCCAAAAAAGAATTTGAAGAACAGTTAGCCAAAGAAGTACAACAGAAGCAGGAAGCCTGCTAAACAACCTGTGGGGCCACTGGACGATCGAGATGCTAAAGGAGCACTCAAGGATTTGATAGCTGCTTTTAACTACCTGAAAGGTGGCTCCAAAGAGGATGGCTCTAGACTATTCTCAGTGATAGCAGATGATAGGACAAGGAGTAATGGTCTCAAGTTGCAGTGGGGGAAGTTTAGGTTGAATATTAGGAAAAACTTTTTCACTAGGAGGGTGGTGAAACACTGGAATGCGTTACCTAGGGAGGTGGTGGAATCTCCTTCCTTAGATATTTTTAAGGTCAGGCTTGACAAAGCCCTGTCTGGGATGATTTAGTTGGGGATTGGCCCTGCTTTGAGCACGGGGTTGGACTAGATGGCCTCCAGAGGTCCCTTCCAACTCTGTTATTCTATGATTCTATGATAAGGACGATAAGGCCATTGCAGAGAAACTAAATGAATTCTTTGCATCGGTCTTCACAGCTGAGGATGTGACGGGGATTCCTAAACCTGAGCAATTCTTTTTAGATGGCAAAACTGAGGAACTGTCCCAGATTGAGGTGTCATTAGAGGAGGTTTTGGAACAAATTGATGAACTAAACAGTAATAAGTCACCAGGACCAGATGGGATTCACCCAAGAGTTCTGAAGGAACTCAAATGGGAAATTGCAGAACTACTAACAGTAGCCTGTAACCTATCATTTAAATTGGTTTCTGTACCAGGTGACTGGAGAATAGCTAATGTGACGCCAATATTTAAAAAGGGCTCCAGTGGTAATCCTGGCAATTACAGGCTGGTAAGCCTAACTTCAGTACCGGATAAACTGATTGAAACTGTAGTAAAGAACAGAATTGTCAGACACATAGATGAACACGATTTGTTGGGGAAGAATCAACATGGTTTTTGTAAAGGGAAATCTGCCTCACCAACATACTAGAATTCTTTGAGGTGGTCAACAAGGATGTGGACAAGGGTGATCCAGTGGATACAGTGTACTTAGATATTCAGAAGGCCTTTGACAAGGTCCCTCACCAAAGGCTCTTAAGCAAAGTAAGGAGTCATGGGATAAGCGGGAAGGTACCTCTCACGGATCAGTGATTGGTTAAAAGATAGCAAACAAAGGGTAGGAATAAATGGCCAGTTTTCAGACTAGAGAGAGGTAAATAGTGGTGTCCCCCAGGGGTCTGTACTGGGACCAGTCCTATTCAACATATTCATAAATGACCTGGGAAAAGGGGTAAACAGGTGGAAACATTTGCAGATGATACAAACCTACTCAAGATAGTACTACGCAAGTCCCAGGCAGACTGCAAAGAGTTTAATAGATGCATAGATATTAAGATCAGAAGGGACCATTATGATCATCCAGTCCGACCTCCTGCACAACGCAGGCCACAGAATCTCCACCACCCACTCCTGCGATAAACCTCTCACCTATGTCTGAGCTATTGAAGTCCTCAAATCCTGGTTTAAAGACTTCAAGGAGCAGAGAATCCTCCAGCAAGTGACCCGTGCCCCACGCTACAGAGGAAGGCGAAAAACCTCCAGGGCCTCTTCCAATCTGCCCTGGAGGAAAATTCCTTCCCGACCCCAAACATGAACTCATAAAACTGGGTGACTGGACAACAAAATGGCAGATGAAATTCAACGTTGATAAATGCAAAGTGATGCATGTTGGACAACGTCACCCCAACTGCATATAAAATGATGCTGTTACCACTCAAGAACGAGCTCTTGGAGTCATTGTGCGTAACTCTCTGAAAACTTCCACTCAGTGTGCAGCGGCCATCAAAAAAACGAACAGAATGTTGGGAATCATTAGGAAACAGATAAATAAGACATATTGCCTCTATATAAATCCATGGTACACCCAGACCTTGAATACTGCGGGCAAATGTGGTCGTCCCATCTCAAAAAAGATATATTGGAATTAGAAAATGTTCAGAGAAGGGCAACAAAAATTATTAGGGGTCTGGAACGGCTTCCATACAATGAGTGATTAATAAGTCTGGGACTTTTCAGCTTGGAAAAGAGACGACTGGGGCGGGATATGATTGAGGTCTATAAAATCATGACTGATGTGGAGAAAGTAAATAAGGAAGTGTTATTTACTCCTCCTCATAACACAAGAACTAGGAGTCACCCAGTGAAATTAATAGGCAGCAGGTTTAAAACAAACAAAAGGAAGTATTCCTTCACACAATGCACACTCAACCTGTGGAACTCCTTGCCTGGGGATGTTGTGAAGACAAGACTATAACTGGGTTCAAAAAAGAACTAGATAAGTTCCTGGAGGATAGATCCACCAAACGCTATTAGCCACAATGGGCAGGGATGGTGTCCCTGGCCTCTGTTTGCCAGAAGCTGGGAATGGGCGACAGGGGATGGATAACTTGATGATTACCTGTTCTGTTCATTCCCTCTGGGGCACCTGGTGCCGGCCACTGTCGGAAGACAGGACACTGGCCTAGATGGACCTTTGGTCTGACCTAGTCTGGCTGTTCTTATGTCTCTTCATGAGGGATTTAACCTAAGTTCAGGCTGGCTTGGCTCTGCTAACTCCCCCTTTCCCCCATCAGGTGTTACTTGTGGCATTGCTTGAACTGGTTAGCGATGCCCCACAATAGCTCATGGCCACTAGTACTACAATGCCACCCCACACTCCCCAGCATGGGGCCTATCATGCCATCTATGCATTTGCAATCCCTTGACTGGACATCACGTACCACTGTGGCTAGGGGGCTTGGCATCCTGGTTCCTATTTGCACACACCGCCTGGTACCAGTCCTTGCACATGGCTCCAATACGGTGCTCTGAACCCCCGCCAGAAGCCGTCATCTCAGCATGCCACCACCTGCCCCAAGGCCAGCACTGAGGAAGTTCCTGACCTATGCAAGGCTAGCAGGGCACCTGGCGTGAGGGGCAACAGGAATGCCAAGGGCCCCCGACGTGCCTGGTTCCTGGGGTTCTACTCTTTCTGCCCACTGGGGTGGCCACATTCTCACACCATGCCAAGCAAGAGCAGTTTTCTGTGGCAGTGTGCCCCATGGGGTGTGCACCCCCCCCATTACAGTACGGTACAGATGCAGGGTGGGCCAGTGAGTGCCTGGAACACAATCAGCCCTAGGCTGACAGGAGAGAAGATCCTCGAGTGTGTGCCCCTGCTGCACTGCCAGCTCCATGGCCCAGTGAAGATGTAGCATGGATGTGTGCCTAGGACACCACCAGCACGTCGTCGGTGTGTTCACCACCGACCCTGCGTCCGAGTGACGGTGCAGTGTGGGCGTGACCCCAGTGGATCACCAGCCCCACCCCACCACTGCTGGCGTAGTGTGGACGTGCCTCTGGAGCATCACTAACCCCACACCCCAGGGATCATGCGGGTGTTTCTCCGGTGTGTCTCTGACCCCCACGTCCAGTGACGTAATGTGGGCGTGTCCCCAGTGTGTCTCTGACCCCCATGTCCCACTGATGGTGTAGTGTGGGTGTGCCCCGGTGCATCATCAATCCCACAGCCCGGTGACAGCGTAGTCTGGTTGGCTCTGTTCAATCCATGGCGGTGAGATGGCACACTGCTTCCTCGTCACAGCTATAATAAGCTCCGCAGCCAGCACTTTTTGGATTGGGTCCTGCTGGCTAGGCTGCAGTCCTGGAGAATGGGCTGGCCCGAGGACAGTCTCTCACTGTGTCGTGTGAAACATCCTGGAACTGGAGCGTATGACTGCTGCCCTTCACTTCAGAGAGTGGTCAGAGATGGTTAGGCCGCTTTGACAGAAGCGTGGTCTTTGCTCTAAGCCCAGGCACATGGCGCTGCCCGAACAAGAGCGCACACGAGCCTGTGTAGGAATGAGAAGTACATGGGCAGGGGGTTTTCGCAGAGTATTGTGTGGTGGCGGTGGTGTACCTGTGTGTGACGGACAGAAGGGGCAGCAAGGGACCGAAGCAGCCAAAAACCCAAGCTAATGGTAATGGAAGTCCTGGTAATATGGCGCTGAGTGAAAGTCTTTTGGGCACTGAGTGTTGTCTGGAAAGGTAGGCTTGGAACAGCTGGCAAATAAACTGGCTCCTGTTGTTTGATCCCTGCTGTGTTCAGAAAAGAAGCTTTATGTACAATCTCTGCCCATAAATAAGATTGCATCAAAGAAAATA